AAATAACCACCAATACTATTTTGGGGTTCAGTATTGTAATTATAGTATACTAATTCTAGTTGTTTCTTATATTTATTTTACAAAATATTTTATTATAATTGGGTTCTTTCCCAAAATAATTAGTATACTAATTCTAGTTATTATGGCGCCTATATGACCCCTGGCCTTCTCCATGGCGAAGCCGAGGCGGTCGTTTTCGAAGTCGAAGGCCACGACGTGCCTTGCAAGACGCAGATCCAGAAGGGTTGACTGTTTCAGGGTTTTAGGGTTTAGGGGTTTACGGTTACATAGGGTTTTAGTGTTTAGGATGGCTTAGGGTTTCGCGGAGTGTATGGGGTTCTCGTCGGGTTTAGCGTAGTATATAGGGTTCTACACCTTGGGATCCAAAAGCCTGACGTTTTCGGGGATCTACCGTTAAAAAAAAGGGTCATAACCTACAATTTTGTAGGGTTTGGGATCACAGGTCAGAGCACCCTTAGGGCTAAGGCTTCAGGGTATAGCGGTTCATGCAACATGCAAGCCTTCTGGCTTAACAATCAGAACGGGGTTTTGAGGGGCAATACAATATAGTCTACGTAAACATACATATAGATAACAAGCTAACATATATATACACATACACATAAACTTTAGATACTAAACTAACATATGTATATATATATATACACATGTATACATACACACATATTCGTTTGCTTGTTTGCATAGACGCTGTACCCTCAGACCGCTACCCAAAGAATGGTAAAGCAAAGCCTCGATGCCCGAACGACCTTAGCCTCGGAGGGCCTGAATCCCTTGCAAAGCCTTCCGAATCACAAGAGAACCCCTGGGAAACTAGGGCTTATAAGGTTTAGGGTTTAGGGTTTAGGGGTTTAGGGCTTAGGGGTTTAGGGTTTGGGGGTTTAGGGGTCTAGGCTTTGAGAACCCTGAGAAACCCGTATATAGCCTTCTGTAACTCACTGAAGCCCTAAGACGGCTAAGACACGAAAATGACGAACATTTCACTCGTCGTACCCCCCAAAACAAAGACCCACAAAGAGACTCCACCCCAAGTCCTGAAGATTCCGGTATGCTCCAAACGCCAACAGCCTGGCTATGAACATGAGCCCTAAGCTTACAGCATCTGAGCCCTAAGTCTAAAATCCCTAAACCCTACGACAATCCCTAAACCCTACGAAAATCCCTAAACCCTACAAAAATCTTTAAAACCTACGGAAATCCCTAAACCCTACAAAAAATCCCTAAACCCTACGAAAATCTCTAAACCCTACGAAAATCTCTAAACCCTACGAAAATCTCTAAACCCTACGAAAATCCCTACAAACCTTGACGCCTGTTCTATCACGCTTTGGCCCGGTCCTTCGCAAGAAGATGTCGCCCAGAACCCAGAGGTTCGTCGGGCCTTCGGGGCCGTGGGTTCAGGGGTTTAGGGTTTAGGGTTTAGGGTTTACGGGTTTAGGTGTTTAGGGTTTAGGGTCAGTGTCTGGGAAACCAATTTCTTAAGGGCTGTTTCCATCAGGCTACGGTTTAGGGCTTAGGGTTCAGGGTTTATGGTTCATGGAAGGTTTCTAGGTTACGGTTTAGGGTTTAGGGTTCAGGGTTTGTGGAAGGTTTCTAGAAGCTATAAGGGCTAGTTTCAAGGTTTCTATAAGGGCTGCTATCAGGCTGTTGGTTTCTGAGGGGGTCACGACAAGGGCTTCTGGAACGGATTCTGTGGTGGTCTCTTTTCGGACCTTAGCGCTTCTAGAAGGGTTTGTATAGGGAGTCTCCATAAAGGGTTACTAGAAGAGATCTATGAGGCTTTAGCTTCGGGTGTATGGGTTCAGGATTTAGAAGATGTAGGATTCAGGCCTTAGGGGTGGAGGCTCAGGGTTCTAGAGGTTTAGGGCTTAGGGTTTAACGGTGTAGGGGTTGGTTGAAGGGTCTAGATTTCAGGGTTGAGGGTTCAGAGTTCAGCGTTTAGGGTCAAGGGTTCCGGGACATATCGGATTTCATATATGCTTCTTCATCGGGTTCTCTATAGTCTAGAGCTTGTAGCCCTACACTCGAAGCCCAAAATACACCGTGAGCATCCGTGAGCCCAACAGAATCTTTTTTTGGGCGAGATTTGCCATAGAGACAAGTGGTCCATGGCTTACGGATTCCAGAGACATACTGCTTAAGGGTGTCTTGTAGCGTAAGGTTTAGACTTCAGTGTTTGGGATGCGTGTGGTTTGCTCTTTTGCATGAGCTTTCGTGAGGATATGGGCAGGCTGGCTAGGTTCCTTTTGCGCATCGCACTGAGAGGTTTTAGTAGGATTGATCGTGGAGGGTCCCACTTGTCTGAGTTTCCTTGCATCGGATTTCAATTTGGTTTTTCAAAATCCTAAACCAGCACACCCAACAGCAGAAGCGCAAAAGTTGGAAATCCAATAGCCTCAATCCTTATAGAGTCATGTGTAGGGAATCCCAGCACCAGTCTGGCTTCCAGTTTTTTGCCGTTTGGATGACATTGGCGACTGCAGTTGATGATATAAATCCTGCATAGTTACCTTCAGGACCCTAAACTACGGGAGCGATGTTCATTAGGGCTCCTAAGCTTTGGATATATCAAAACACGCTAGAAACCAAACTTTAAGCCCCGAGCCCTGAACCTACATCCGACATGCAGCGAGCTTAGCTCCTGTTCACCGCAACTAAACCCCCAGCATCAGGCTCTGAATCACAAGCTTGGTCGTCTTCCCCAAACGCCAGAAGTCCGGGTTTAGGGTTCAAGGTGTCGATGCCGAATGGAACCTAGCTCAGAGCCGCGTTTGTAGCACGGTGGCTCAGAAGTATCCAATGCCTCAACAAGAATTGTTCAGACCGTCACATTCAGGAGGGGCCCTAAAAGCAAAACCCTGATGGCTTGTAAGTTTGACAACAGTTCAGAAGCCGAGCAGCCATTCTGTAGTCTTCGCCCCCGAAGCTGTGCGTCACCTCCCTCAGAGATCGGTGGGGCACATTACCCAAAGGGTTTAGAGTTTAGGGAGGACACTTCCCAAATCAGAACACTAGTTTCCGATATAGACCGAAGTTCTACTGTGAAGATACTTAGGACCCTGTGGGTTAACGAGCACCGGAGGAACTAAAGCGGGTAACTTCTCTTAGTGTGCCCAGCTCTCCGGTTACTGTTGCCTTCAATATGTGGTAAGCCACTTATCACATAGATACATACATAGACCTGTATGCATATATAGCTATATATATATATGTATGTATATATATATATATATGGTATACACACATATGTAGGTAGATAGATATGAAATCATAGACTGTTTTATGTATGTAAACATACACAAACACCTATATGCATGCATGTATGTATGTATGCCTATGTATGTGTATGTATGGTGTATGTCTGTGTCTGTGTCTGTGTCTGTGTCTGTGTATGTGTATGTGTATATGTATATGTATATGTATGTATGTATGTATGTATGTATGTATCTATGTATCTATGTACGTATGTATGGGCGTATGGACGTATGAATGCATGTATGTAAGTATGTATGTATGTATGCATGTATGTATGTATGCATGTATGTATGTATAGGTATATATGTATATGTATATGTATATGTATATGTATATGTATATGTATATGTATTTGTATATGTATGTGTGTGTGTGTGTATGTGTATGTGTGCGTGTATACGTGTCTGTGTACGTGTATGCATGCATGCATGCATGCATGTCTCTCAGCAGATAGTCATAGTCCAAACATGCACATCCTACTACTCATACTCAATATTCATATGCCTACACATGCGAAAACCAAAACTTGAAGCCCTTTTCAAACTGAAAACCCTTACACCATGCTTATTGAGACCCTTACGCATGAAACAAAAAACAACAACTTAAAGACACCATCAAGCCTTGCACAATCGCATGAACACAACCTTCCCACTTTTATAGCTATATACACTGGCACCTCCAGCCGGCGCCCTTGGTTCTTGGCGCAGTATCCGGGCCTCAAGCCAGAGAAAACCGCGGCTTGGCACGTTATTTCTAAGGAATAGCCAAGGAATATACGATTCGGGTTTATTGCAGGGCTCAGAGTTTCAGGATCATATAAGGGGGTTGAAAGTTTCGGGCACAACCGCTTACTTATGCATGTTTGCATGCTTATGATGGCCAGGATCCGGGGTTTGTGTGCTTCGAAAAGAATTGCTTGCAAGATCGAAGGGCTTTGGTCTCGGCGTGCTTCCTACAAGTTCAGGTTTAGGGTTTAGGGTTTAGGGTTAGGGTTAGGGTTTAAGGTCCTTTTTATTCTTCAGGCTCCATCTTGGGCTCTTGCATGATCTGATACAAGTGTTGGCTCGTAGTACTTCAGGAACGGTCTGAAGATTCTACAACGAAGGTACCCGCAAAACCTTACGTGGCAAAGTCGGATGCCCAAACTCAGTAATGTAGGGGCCTTTATAATTAGTGTTGCTGTTCGGCTTCTCTACCCATGCTGTTGATCTCACCAACAGTCTGACTGGTTGGTAAGTCCTGGGCGTTGGGGTTCTCATCGGTATTGCCGTTCATCTTCGTTGCTCCACGACGGACACCCAACACCAAACGATTCCGAATTGAGTAGTCCGTGACTACAACAACACCATGGCTTCTTCAAGAGGCACAACGCTATTTCCCGCGACAAACACACTGTCTGCTGCAACATGCCGTAGTTAGGCACATGCTGAATGTTCAAGGTGCGCAGCCCTCCACAGCTTAAGCCATGCACTGCGTCAACGGACCTGAAGGAGGTAGTCCAGCTGTACACACTTCACAACCTGGAAATTCTACACTCCTCCTTGAACCCTCCGCTAGGAGAGGTTCACTCAACTCAGAAACTGTTCCTGCCCCTTAGGCAGTACTGGCAAATTGCCTTTGGCTTGATATTGCCTGCCCTTCTAAGCCCACGGCACTCCTGATCCCGGTGGATGCAATCACCCCCTTGCGAAGCATACACGTACTCACTCGAATCCAAGACAATAACCGGGTCAGTTTGCGTGGCCTGGGTAGTGCTGCTACGCCTACCAACACTTGGGACTTTGTCTGGAACATCACATTCATACCCACCTGGTCCTACAGGCCTGGGAGGTTGTCCCGCTGACATGCTGCAAGCTCCTTGCGGGACCTGGGCAAACCTTGGGTCAGCAAGCTTGCTGGAGGATCCTCTCGCCGAGCACCTGGACATTGCGAACTTCTGATCCTCACCTGGTGCACCTGCATGCTTGACACCCACATTGATGTCACCGTAGACCACAGTAGGTGCACGCTCCACTCGGGGCTCATGATCGACATCGTATTCCTGTAGGCACTTGTTCCTCCCTTTACGACGCCTCTGTAGGCCTTCGTCCCCTGTAGGGCTTTCACTAAGGGCGCTGTCGATGGCTGCCGCTACTCTCTCCTGGAGTTTTTTGCTCTTCCGTTCATGCTTCTGGGTAGTCACTGCCCGGATCTTTGGAACCTCTCGGCTTCTTCTGCTGCACGGGGCACCGCTGGCTTCCCACACAAACAGCGTTGACAACACAACCAACAAAGTAAGTGCAGCAAGCTCCCAAGGCCACTCAATGGCCACTCCTTGATCTACACTCTCCTCGTCAAGCGAAGCTCCTGCGCTTATGCAGGTTTGAAGCATTGTCAACAGCCCGGTCAAACATGCTGACGAACTAGGTGCCACAGCCCTCACATTCGGAAGGATTTCCTCCTCCTCAGGTTGCTGTCTCCCATTGCCAAGGTGCAACAGATCACACAGGAAACGCATTCTCGAAGATGGCAACACCTTTGTAAGCAAGTCGGCCTTCTGCCATTCGCCGGGACAATGCTTAACAGCCCATCCAGCTTGAATCAACTGTTTAACTTTCGACGCCCGGACTTTGAGATGGCGAGTCCTTTGATTACCCGAGCCTGAAATGAAAGATATGGATGCGGTGTTGTCCAACATGAGCTCCGCCGCGTTGCAGTCCACACCCAAATCAGACAGAACCGTCATCAAGGATTCGGTGTACATGCAACCCTCCACAGCTTGAATCAACTCACATTCTGATGAGCTGAGCGCGATTAGTGCCTGGCGGGATGCTTTCCATAGCACTGGAGCACCGAACACTTCAATAACATGTCCTCCGAACGAGTGCCGTCCTTGAGGCGAGAAGGACGCATCTGTGAACACCCGGACTGGCGCCACCTTCTCATCCGGCCGCAAGTGCAGCCGATAGTCCTTCGTGTGATGCAAGTAGGCCAGGATTCGTCGTCCCACCGCCAAGGCACCGTGAGGATCCTTAGACACTCTGGAACAAAGGGCAGTCGTCGCGAAGCAAATGTCAATGCGACTTCGCTGAGCAAGCCACAAACATTCCCCGGCAACCTTCTGTGCCGCACGTGTAGTGGCTTCATCAAACGGCTCCACGGTCTCTGTCTCGCACATCAGCAGCTCCCTGGGACACACAATCTTTGACTTGTCCCCCTCGCCCAGATTATACGCCCGCACCAACTCCTCAACATAGGCCTCCTGGTCCAAGCTGAAATGGCCGTCGGGGTAGCTGCGCAACTGCATTCCAAGGAACCTCACCGGGCTTTCAGAAGTCGCCTCACTGAGCCCATCAGTGTCCCATCCTGCACCATCAATCAACCACTGGTGCAATGCGTGCGCCGTTGCTTTGTCACTCAAAATCAAGAAATCGTCGACATACGTCACCAAGTAGCCTTGAAGGGTTTCACCCTTCATGATCTTCCAGATGGATGAGTCGGACTTCCCTTGCTCCAGGTGGCAACCCAGAAACTTCGCCGTGAACAACTTCGAGTCTCTGTGGTCTGACCACCATGCGGGGGCTTCCTTGAAGCCGTAGAGAACCATTCCAAGTGAGTAGTACTCATCGGCGCGTGCCAGTCCTAGGTCCACAAGCCACCGTGGCGGACGTAGCAAGTACCTCTGAGCCGCGTTCTTTGGAATCGGCGTTTGTGTAAATGCTGACTTGATGTCTGTGGTGAATGCTGACCACCGATGCCTTGTAGCCTGCACCAGTGCTGTGCGTACAACTTCCGCCGGTGCTCCAGCGGCATAGAGTGAATCGGCATCCACATGGGTGGCCTGGTTGCCACATCCCACCAGCCTGCACTTGCGCTTGTACAAACCGTCCTCTGGTCCTCCTGGTGCCTTTGCCGTAAATACCCCCTTTAGGGAGATGACCGATGTTCCCGGATTGGCAATTCGGCTCTGGGCATCTGTGCCAAAATGGCTCACCAGCACACCTTGACCCTTGAGCGAGCTGAGTTCCTTTTCAATGGCAGGTCGCCACCGTTCCAGGTTCATACGCACTTCTTCTTGCGACGCTGTATGCGTGACACTGAGAGGCTCGGTCAGACTACTCAACACACTTTCCAAGTCCCTAGTAGTCGTAGCCTCCGTTTTGCACACCAATGCTTCCTCCAATGGTCCGACCTGCTTGCCAGTCGGCACATCTTTGATGAAGGTAGGATTGGGAAGAGGAAAAGGCAGCCTCGGGACCTCCCTGTCCAACCTGTCCTGAACCTTTGCATGTTGATACCCCTGGACTGCCCGCACCTCCGGGAGCGCAGGCCCGGGGACCTGCAACACAGGCTGGTGCATCTCCTCCTGAGGTTCTGGCTCATGAATCAACTCGACCCGAAGGACAACCATCTCCAAGACATCTCGGATCATATCCCTTATAGAAAACATCAGCATTCTATCTGGGAAAGGTGAATCATCCACGTAGCCATCATCAGAGAACTCAAACACATAGGCAAGGAGACGCAGCCCATCTGCAGTGGGAAGGTGCAACTCAGGGTTTCTACTCCAGTTTCTCTGCTGAAAAACCGTTGCCATCAACAAGTGATGGGGAATTGAGGCCGACAAAGGATCGAGTGCAAGGTCTTCATCATGGCCTCCTAACACCCTTTGCCATCTCGCAAACCCTTGCTCAAAGGCTTCTTCGTCCAGCTCACACAGCTCTGCCCACTCTTGCGCATTCATCCTGGCGTACCTGACATGCAAACCTGTGCGACCTGGTGGTGGAGGTGGCGGTCTGGCTCGTACAGCCGGAAGCCTCTGTGGATTCGGACCAACGAGCTTGCAAACAGACGGTGCGATTTCAGATCCCAGGCGGAACCCGAGTGACCTCAGGATCCCCTTCTTCTCATCATGAAGCTTGGTAGACCCCAAGGGACTATAAGCTGCAATCACCCAATTGGTAGCTGGTAACAGCGCGTGTCGTTGCTTTGGGTTGAACGCTGTGACCTCGTGACCTATGGGCACCAACCTCCCTTGAAACTCCCTTCCTTGAGAATCACTCCATACCTTCGAGGCTTGACCTTGGGGCTCCTCCTGAGCCTGCTCTTCCAGCCATAAGGCCCGAGTGGTCACCTGGGTGACAAAGTTGAACGAGCCAGGCTCATTGCGAACATCCCGGTGCACAGAAACTTCATCTGCTACTGCCACCATCAAGGCAGTCCAGGTTGGAACGACGTCGTTCATTCCCCTATTTCGCCTCAAATACTCATTCAAGTAACGACACACATTGGGATGGGCCATGCTGGATCGCGTAACCCCTCTCAACCCGCCGTGGCTGTACGCTCCCAAGATTACTGAGAAGTCCCACTGGCCCCTGTGTTGCCTCTTTGTTGCCTTGGCCTCACCTTCAAACGCAACCTCAAGCAACCTTCCGCAATCACTCGCTGAGAAGGAACTAGACTCCAACAAAGTCTCAGCTACTCCTCGGCAGGCATCTTTACAGACCTCACTGCTCGTTTCCCGGTGACACGGCGGCTAGGGACTGGAGTGGGATCTGGATCGGGCGACTCCTGTTCAAGGGGTTCAGCAACTAGTTTTTCTTCATCTAGCTCCGCCTCTGGATCCACCAGATCCTCCATGCATCTCACGTTCTTTGCAACCAGATATCCCCCTGACAGCGCTCGCATCAACACGTGTCCTCCCTCAGTTCTTGGTGTGGGACATAGGTACACAGCGTGTTCCCACCGGATGAAAGGGCGTTTGGATTTGCCCGTCGGGTGCTTACTCTTGAAAATCACCTTCTGTCCAAACCTTGGTAGTGCACCTTCACCTTGCAACAACCTATGCCTGTGCTCGGCGCACGCAAACGCCATGGCTGCGGGCCACTGTTCAACTCCTAACCCGGAGGAGGCTAGATGCAATCGTGCCCTGGCTTTGACCCACCCGACCAACCTTTCGGCCAGCCCATTGGACTTCGGGTCATCACCCTGAGTAAACGATGGCTGTATCAGCTTTGACTGCATCCAATCCATGGTGGCCTTTGACATCAGCTCCTTTGCGCGGTCTGTGTGTGCCACCTTGACGGGAAAACCCAGTCGATTGCATTCAGTGACCACTTCTTGCAACCCCGCCAAGATCTGGGGCCCCTTCCTGGACTTAAGCGGCACCACAAACCTCAGAACCTTGTTGGAACCTGCAAACACCATCTTTGACAACTCATCATCAAAGGCTTCATCCGTGAGTGCAGACATATCAGGGTCATCCTCCCACACTTCAGCTTCCAGTGGTGGAAGAGGCACGGAATCATCATCTTCACAACCTATACCTCCTGCATCGACCTCAGCATCTTCATCGGCTTCATCGGGCGGCTCATCCACCCCCGGAACTTCAAACCACCCTGGCTCTGATCCCTGCTCCTCCTCAGACTCTGAACTCTCCCCATCAACCTTGCTAACCCCGGCTGTTGGCTCCAAATCCGCGCGAAGCCAGCTGGCTTCCGAACTGGCGTCATCATCCTTCAAGGCATTATCTTTGTTGTCTGGCGGGGGAGCTGTCATCACAGGTTCGACCAAAGGATCCGCTTTGGACCCTCGGCCAGGCTTCTCATCTTGCGGAGGCAGAGCACACTCTGGAACACGGAGCCCGGCCACCAGGGCGTATTTGTAACCGCTTCCGCGATCATCACGCCCTTGCTCTTTAAACGGCCCCATCATGTCGAATGCCAAGGCGAACATTTGCGGACACTTCACACGCCTGTGTTGCACACCTAAGGCACCTGCCATTACACACTGAAGGCAGTCCTTTCTGAAAGGAATATGATGCGAGGCCACATGCCTTTTCCACTTTTCATGCTCTTTGTCACTGAGCTTGGCCTTCTTCGGAATTGGCTCCATTGGGGCCCCAACCTCTTTTTTCTCCACTTGAGGAGGGCATGACTCTGAGCCATTGGCAACCTCAACGGAACCTGAACCTTTGCCTTGGGCTTGTGAATGCACTCCTCCTGAGGCTGGCGACCTTGCTGCACGAATAGCTGCATCCCCACCTTTCAATTCAAGGGACGAAACTTCAGGGGACTCACCTTCAGCCTCATCTTCATTGGAAACAGGAGCATCATCACACTTGTTTACCCCAAATAGCGCAAAGCTCACCTCCCTTCGAAATGACGCTGGCCAAACGGAATGGACCGGCATAGACTCTTGCGTTGTTCCTGTAGAAGGGGAAGGCACAGGCTTTTGTGGGAGGTTCAAGTTGGACACAACATTCATTGCCCTAAAGTGGCACATTGCTTCAGAGTGCCCGGAAACCAAGAACGAAGAACAGTTGCTCCAATTGGCGAACGGGGCAACTACCTCACCCATCCATACCTTGCTCCCCTCATTAGCCTGATCACTAAAGGTCTGGCATGTAGGCACACCTTCACCTCTTGCAATGGATGCAAGGGTCCACAACCACATGGGCTGCAAAGCTGACAACGTGTCACCTTCCACCTTTGACTGAACTCCAGCACTGTTCGAAGGCAGACCCCATGGATCGGTGACGCTTCGCAAATGCACAAACTTCCCTGTCTCAACCTGGAAGCTTCCCCATGTGCGCATGGTGGATTCGGACACAACGCCTGACACCTTGCCTGTGAACGCTGCCCACGCCAAAGCCTTCCACACCTCAGTCGTGAGGCGGTCCCGCTGACTGGTGTTCACAACAACAAGCTCATGACCTCGGTCCTTACACATCTGCCGCAACAAAGGGTCTACCTGGCCTGTACCTAGATGCAGCACCCAGGATCTTGACTCGCGCAACCTCTTGCGCGTACGCCTGTTGAAGGGTAGGGCCTTGAGGAAATCCCATCCAGTGCATTCCTGAAAGTCGAACGCAAGCTGCGACAACAGGTGGGCCGGAACCTTATGGGCGAAGGGTAGTGACTGAACAAGCGCCAACGTGGTAGCACAGCACCCCGACTCCACAAACCTGCTGAGGACCTCCTGGAACTTCAAGCCCTTTTTGGCCTCAATGTATGCACGAACCTTCTTCAAACGACCAGTGAGTTCGCTCAACTTGGCACTCTCCAGTTCCTTGATCAACATGACAGCCTGGTCCTTGCTTACCTGCGGGCATCCACTCTTCAGGCTGGTTTTCATCTTCCCCAGCCGCGGATGGATGACTTGGAGGCCTGCCTTCCTAGACCACCGAACCACCAAACACCCCAACGGTAGAATGGTCTGAGGGGCGTGTCCCTCTGCCGTGTTGGGAGCAACAAGCGACCCACCTGGAGTCTGATGCCATGTCTGGCGTTGATCCCCCGCAAGGGAGACCGTGCAGGGCTCCAGCTTCTGATGCTGAACGGAACTCAAGTCAAGTACGGCATGGGTTGCGCCAGAGTCCAGGAGAGCTGTTGACTCTGTTGACTCCTCTCGGTCATCTGCACCTGGTACCTTATTGAACCTCTCAACCGCACACGCGCGAGGGGTGCCGTCCAACACTCTTGCTTCCAGATCATCAAGCTGCGCCTGAATCTTGGCTGCCGCCGCCATTGGGGTAGCCCCTGATGACCCAGGGTTCTCAGACGCTCCACTTGCTGCTGTGCCTGACTCCTGCTGACCGACGCTACTATGCTCACCTGACACAGTTCCGCCTGACAACGCCTCACGCAGCACACCTGCAGCATCTGTTAACACCCGGCGCAAACCTGGATCCGGTCCCTTAGCCTTCGGACTAAAATCCTTGCGAGGAGCCTTGGCTGAAGACGCCCCGTCATCCCGCTTCGCAAGTCCTTGTCCGGAGACGGTGGTACATGCATCCTTTCGGTGGCCTTGGCCTCCGCACAACATGCACCGATCTGAGCGGTCCTGCTTAGGGATCTGGTTCCAGTCATGCACAAACCGGCACTCCTTCCCTCTTCGACATCCCTTTCCTTCGTGAAACCACTTGCACAACTTCTTCGGGGAGTCACCTGAGGTTGGCGATGGGTTGGGCCTCTGACCTCTATCCCTTCCACCCGGCACACCAGGTTCCAAGCTCCCTCCTCCTTGCCCCGAACCGCGTGCTTCAACCTGCCGGACACCCTTGTTGCCCTCTGCCTTGGCTGCATTGGTTCCTCCCGCCGGGGCATCAGTGACCCTTGACACTCCTTCTAACTCAGCAAGGAGGTGCTCGAAGAACTCATTGACCTTGGTGGTTGAGGGCTGCGTGTCCAAGTGTAGTGACGCCCTCACAAGGTTGACCCTGAAGGCCAAGCTCGGAAGGGCCTTCAGGACCCCGCTCGTTATCCCTTCAAGGGCCTGGATACTGACCGCTGCGTCCGGCGGGGTTCCACCGAGATCTGCCAGGCGTGTCATCCAGCGCTTCCACGTTCGAAGCTTCAAGACTGCATCTATCGGCGAATCCGCTGCGCGCGGGTGCTGCACCTGCCTCAAAGCCTCGGCCCGCTCAGTAACACCCCCGGGCTTGTAGATCGTGAAGAGCCTGCACATAATGCTGACCACCCCACTCACCCTTGCAGCGGACAACTCCGAGCGAACCGTCTCTGGACAGCTCTGCAGTATCAGATGCTCCATTCTGTGGCGCACTCGATTCCACCGCTGTTCCCTGTCCACCTCTGACACCGGAGCCTTGAGCCTCACCCTCGCCAACGGGCCAGCGGGAACGAACTGCGTAGTGTACCACTCTTGCGCCTGCGTCAAAACACACTGCCAGCACTCCCCAGACGTGTCCGAAAGATCACTCATTGAGGGCTTATAATGGCATGCAACCAGTCCGAAAAACCCAGGGCACCTTCAAGGGTTGGTGGCGGCAATTTCACAAGCTCAGTTACTCCTGGCCTTACAACCTCTGAGGCATTTGAGACCGATGGGCCGGCACCTTTCGACGCTGCTAAGTCTGCCACAACCGACTGCAGCTGCACTATGCCTGACATCATAGCCTCCAGCGGGTTGCTGCCTGAGTCTGCTGCAGCTACCGGTAGTGACACCTTAGGGCCTAAACCCGAGGGTCCTCCTTGACCCTTGGTTGCCAACGGCGCACTTGGAAGCGCCTGCTGCACCTGACCTTGCATACCCGGCGTAGACATAGCCCCAACGGACATAGAGGATGCAATGGGCGGGGGACCTAAACCCGAGCCTATCGAGGTTGAGTGCCGACCCTGTGCTTGATGCGCCTGCGGCTGACCTCCTGCCTGCTGCGGTGACATGGCATCGCCAACCTGACCTGACTGCGGGGGTGGCACTTGCTGCGCTGCCGACAACCATCCCTCAGGAGTCTGGAGGGAGAACGCGGGAGCCTTTCCAGGTACCTGCTGGACCAAACCCAGAATATTCCTCCGCAACCCACTAAACCAACTACCTCTTCCAGACTGTAGTCCCAAGCCTTCCGGGTTCACCTCCGAAACAGAAGCTACCTGCCTAAGCATCTGGTTTTCTTCAGACAACACTGCTACCCTATGCTGAAGCTCACTTTGCATCACCATAAAGGCCTGCATCTGCCGTCTCACCTCCGCTTGGATAACTTCAGCTTGTCCAGAATCCGAGCTTGCTGAGTGTGGCAACGGGGGCGGAGACGGAACTTCCACCGCACCCGCATTCGCCTCTACACCAGGCCCTTTGTCCGGAAACAAGAGAGGTGCCTCACTAGACATCTCCTGCAGCCTCCTTGCCTGTTGCGGCGAGAACAGCCCACTCGAGGAAGGGCCAAAACCCTCCTGACTGGACGGCTCTCCTTGATTCCCAGATCCAGCTGTATAAAACCCAGTACCATGCGTACCAGCCGAAACAGCATCCTCCTGAGACAAAAAACTCTGAGCCTCCGCAGTCCTGCCAGTTGGGCGCACTCCCTGAACCTTCGCGGCAACGGTCGCCATGACCCGTTCCGCAGCAGTCTTCAATGCCCCCATTCCAGACCCTTGACCGGTCCTCCTAGCAGCCTGTAGCTCCTGGCCCTCTATCTCCTCGACGCTCGATCTCGGCAGACGCACTTCATCGTCCAAGTTCATCTGACCAGCTGTACCCATGGACCCATAGGTCCCATTGATTGCCGAAGTCCCCGTGGTAGCGGTTTGGGCGCTCATAACCTGTTGCTGTTCGGCTTCTCTACCCATGCTGTTCATCTCGCCAACAGTCTGACTGGTTGGTAAGTCCTGGGCGTTGGGGTTCTCATCGGTATTGCCGTTCATCCTCGTTGCTCCACGACGGACACCCAACACCAAACGATTCCGAATTGAGTAGTCCGTGACTACAACAACACCATGGCTTCTTCAAGAGGCACAACGCTATTTCCCGCGACAAACACACTGTCTGCTGCAACATGCCGTAGTTAGGCACATGCTGAATGTTCAAGGTGCGCAGCCCTCCACAGCTTAAGCCATGCACTGCGTCAACGGACCTGAAGGAGGTAGTCCAGCTGTACACACTTCACAACCTGGAAATTCTACAATTAGAATAGGGTTTCGGGAGCCACTATACTCTATCCATAATAAGGCACCCCCCCCCATTACTTAGGCCCGGCCCCGACATTATGACGCAGGACAGACGAGCCCCTGCTCTGCACTGGGACTCTCACGTATGGGCGTGCTTTTTCCAATACTTGATGCTCCTCATCGTCAGCGGAAGTCGCTGAGCTATCTCTTGTGCATCGGAATCATCAATGAACTGCTTGGCTGCAGACTGCCCAGCAGTCTTCTGCGTGAGGCTCCACGTTCCCACATAGATCTTGTCGTTGAAACGTGGCACGTGCAGCTCGGCGATGAACTGGCTGTCTTCAGACCAGGAAGAATACCAGCAATCCTCCGCCCACACAGGATCTCGAGCTAGATACCGGCTGAGGAAGATTTTGACAGTGCTCTTCGGATCCTTCTGGAGCAAGTCCAGTCCAATGGATCGGTTCGGGGGCGCAGGTGGCTTCCGCTTCTTGCCAGGACTGCTCTGCACCGAGCACTGCTCCGACATTGCGTTAACGTTTCAGCGGAACTGCGGGCTGCAAACGCTGCAAACACAACTGCATCTTGAGATGACAAGAGACGCACCGCGTTTCAACACCAGGAACCCCCCCTAGTCGCACAGCAATGCCTTCGCCACCCAGAAGCATGTGATCAAATCGGAGGAAAACAGATGCTAATCTTGACAGACACACTCCAAGAAGGACTCAGGCATTTGAGGCAACGCAACAACGAGGTCCTGATCTCGCAATCTCTGCACCATCCTGCCTGGAGAAGCATGCGAGCCTGGCGATGTATGCGCAGTAGGTGCCGCATTACGTGCATCAATGTATCACATTTCTGGCTAACCAACATTATACTGAACACATCTGGGGAACGAGCCCCGCTGGAACACCGGAATGTGAGTGCTGTTCCGGGCCACTTTATAAATGAAATGCTACCGTGCCAATGCTGCTTGAGGAAGACATGCGGTCACACTTTACATATACATGCACAGCACTTGCCGAGTTGCTACAAAATTGTTCAACTGGTGCAGAAGCAGATCGCTAGTCCACTACTACCGCGCTGCTGCATCCAAACGCTGATCAATCAGACGAAATGGCAAGCTTTCCATGCGAAGCTTCAGGGCTGTGTCTGGCGCAGAGACTGGATCTACATTCACTGACGTCATGTTGACATCACGCACTTTGTCCGAGACAATCTTCTAGAGCATCCACCTAGAGCGTCCATGCTCTCTGGTGGCTGAGGCAGGCGGCGTCAATCCATTCCTCCCAATGTCAACACTGGGATGGACCGTCACTCAGGCAATCCCGTCCCAGATCGCGTTTCGGCACCCGTGTTCCCGAGCTTCATTGTACTGACACCTGCTCTCTTCCAGGACAGACGAGCCCTTGCTCTGAACTTGGACTTTCACGCCTGGGTGTGCTTTTTTCCAATACTTGATGTTCCTCATCGTCGGCGGAAGTCGCTGAGCTATCTCTTGTACATCGGAATCATCAATGAACTGCTTGGCTGCAGACTGCTCAGCAGTCTTCTGCGTGAGGCTCCACGTTCCCACATAGACCTTGTCGTTGAAACATGGCACGTGCAGCTCGGCGATGAACTGGCTGTCTTCAGACCAGGAATAATACCAGCAATCCTCCGCCCACACAGGATCTCGAGCTAGATACCGGCTGAGGAAGGTTTTGACAGTGCTCTTCGGATCCTTCTCGAGCAAGTCCAGTCCATTGGATCGGTTCGGGTGCGCAGGCTGATGCCATTTTTTGCGTTGCTTTGGGTGTCGTTCTGGTTATTCTTCTGTTTGGGTTTTTTTTACATTAACCTCGCGCCAGTTGTCACCATCTTCACGACGCTCCCGCTCCGCATCACAATTTTGCCATGCCTCATGCTCTTCCCAGCTGCTGCCATCTTTATGACACTCTTGTTTCACTTCCCAGTCTTGCCAATCTGTCAGAGTCTCCTCCTCTCATGGTCTACGAATATTCTAAGGCAAATCTAATCTTGCTGCAACCACTACAACCCCACATGAAGCACCACTCAACAGTCCTTCACACTGCTGCAGCTGGTATCCGTGCTTTCAGTCTTCGGTATCAGCCACCCAGAGGACCTGGGAAGATATCTAACGTGCGCGGTGAAGATCGCTGCTCTCCGTAATTCTTGATGGTTGGCAATCGATTCAACATGGAATCAACCAAACAACCAACTAACGGGAAAAAGCCCACCCGTAAAAAATCGGCGAGAGCCAACCGCGAGCATGCACCAGACGGATATTGCAGAGCGTTTTCAGTCAACACATGCCGCAATTTCATCTACTCTTCAGCCACGTTTCTCAAGGCAGGTCGCGGTCGCAAGTTTGACGACATGTAGGCTTTCAGAGTGCTTCACTTCAAGATGCTCGTGACATTCGTGGAACTGTCGGGTTCAAGTCTATATAGGCTCTGCGGTAATCCGAATACCTGATGAGGTGTCTGTTGCAGCATGCGAAGGTGTCGTGGGACCGTGATATGGAGTGTAGAAACTAGAACGTGGGCTTGAGAACAAAAACCATGCTCATCAAGACCCAACAGTTCATCTGCTAGCCATCGTTTCTCTTTCTTCCAGCTTGTCGTGACAGTTTCGGTGCATGGCAGTTCTTTCGCCAGCCATCGTTCCTGCTCCTTCAACAGAATTTGCTACACATTATCTGCGCACAAGTTTTGGGTGAGATCATTAATTTGACAGCCACCGTTTCTCCTTCCTCCAGAAACACAAGCCTCTACACAAACAACTGTCTACACACAGATCTGTGCGTGGCAGTTTCGTTGCGTCTTTTGCCAGCCACCCTGAGAATGCATATTCCATCATTTCCGGATTCTTCCGTCTTCCCGATTCGCTTCATGTTCCATGCGATCATTTCCGGATGTTTCCATCTTCCATATTCGGATGCTTGGGATTTTCCCGTCGTCTTTCGGACTCGATTCGTATTCCATCACTTCTGGCATTTTGCTTGTCTTCTTCCCGTTGTTGCCGGCCGCAAAGAATTTGATCCAGTCCGCCTTTCAGTAGAAACTCCAACCCAGCAGTATGTAATGGTATGTATACTGCTTGGAACAACTCCCCGCACACAGCTTTTCGTGACAGTTCGTTACGTGGCATTTCATTTGCCAGCCATCGTTACTCTTTCTTCCAAAGAGCTTGCTACAAAACACATTCTGTGCACTGTTCGTCACTTCGTATGTGTAACGTGTATAACTCCAAGATCATGAGGGCACAGCTGCAAGGACTGCGCAGGCTAAGGAATCGTGACGGCACGCCGCTTTTCCGAGATTGGCTTTGCCCGCTGACTCCCATTCCTTCGAATCATTTAGCCAGGCGTGAGCAGCTTGGTTCAGCCGTCACGGACACTTTGTGTGTCAGCAAAGTTGCGCGTCTTGCGCCGATACCTGAACAGTATAGTTCACGCATGGCCTCAAAAGTATGGGATGACAACCTGTGCATGGGCACTGTCTGCACGCGGCCACTTGATGCAGCTCTAAGCTGTTGGGTTGGGTCGGCCCTGAGCTAGAAAGGGGGAGCCCGAAACTAGTGTTTTCCAAGATGCTGTTCAAGTATCTCAAAAGAACAACTCAAGCCCTTCGAGACCTTCCCGGTTGGGATCCTCTTGTTGGAGCCGGCCGCTTTCACAGCCGGTCCTCAAGACTTGAATCGGCCCCTGAGTTTTGTTGTGTGCCTCCTGGGCCACGGCACGGGGTTTTCGGGTTGGTTTTCAACTCTCACTCTCGCACACGGGTTGGTTTAAGGGTTCCCGTGACAGTTTGGAGTCTGTTTGGCTTTCAAAATGGGAGCCAGGCGCCACTTGAGGCAGCCGTAGTGAAACGGGAGCCACGTGAGGCTGCCTACAGGTGCAGGAATTCGCTTTCTACAGTAGCCTTGTACTTGTTGCTTGCTAGGGTTGGTTTAGGGTTACGTAGGGTCTTTTTACTGTGGGTCGATATAAAGGATTGCGTTCATCCAACTCCTTTTGTCTTGGCCCTACCCTAGACGACGCTCAGATCCCAGACTCAAGCAGGGCCAGACAATTGCAAAATGATCCAACCCTGAACCCTAGACTTCAAACTGTTACCCTAAACCCAACCTCAAGCTCTTACCTTAACTAAACCCCAACCCTCATCTGTCATCCGCTGCCACGCACCCGCTTCAAGAATGTGCTCACATGAGCAACATGCCGCGGTGGTCTCATTGGGGCGCTCTCCGTGGGGAAGGACACCTGCATGGGGACAGCTGCAGGTCCGCTAGCCGCCCCACCAACTCCAGCGCCTGACGAAATCGGGCCTGGAGGCGGTCTACAATCTGAGCGAAGCCAGGGCGCAGACCGGCGTTGTCTTGGGTGCAAGACAACGCCAGGTCCACCCCCAGGTCTGCCTCCGCCTCTGGCACATCCTCGAACCAAGCAGAATGCTGGGATCCTATTATAATTCGAAGTATATTCCTTATAATGAAGGGGTATTGGGGTCTATGCATAGTTCTACGATGGCATTACGATCCCGGTGGTCGCAGCATGCAGATATCTTGTGCCGTGCTAGTGACTGCAAGGACTTGCCCTTCAACCCCGAATTAAACCCTAAGCCCCACTACATCAGGCTGACACATAGGAATTGACCCGCAGCCTGTAGTTCAGATTTCGCTAGTCGGAGATGCTGTCGCTAACATCGCCAGCCCCCGAAGTAACGACACATTGATCCCCATGCTACGATGGTGCCCTAAACTCTAATCCCCACCGTGGATCATATCGTCTCTGCCTCTCTCTCTCTCTCTTGACACACGCGCACAGACACACATGAAGCCGTAAAGTGAACAACCTACAGACCATAACATCGGACTCTAGAGCCCCAGATTTCCCAAGAAGTTGAGGAAGCTGCGAGGGCTCCTTCACCTTCCGCCCCTCATTTGTCAAAAGCCAAGTCGTCTCCTCAATGACCTTAAGGGCTTAGGGCTGGTGGTGTAGAGTTTCGGATTTTCGGAGGACAGTGCTTACAGGTTTGTCATGGCCCGAAACCACTTCAAACAACGTGCGACTCTACATGTTCCTAATGTAGGGGCCTTAATGATT